CTGTCCATCTTATGGGCAGCGTTGAGTTGCGCAATTTCCCTGTTCGAAAACGTGATACGATTTCATCGACTGCTACTGTCGCATAGCGTCGACTGAGCGAGAAAGTGCGCACGCATTTCTCACGATCAATATGTATACGACCGGCAATGCGTACCGTCTCTATGATAGTTGGCCCTATCTTACGAAATCTTAGTCTCACTCGTCCGATGTAGTCTAGCTGGTTAGGATTCATGGCTCTCACCCACGCGACCGGGGTTCGAGTCCCCGCATCGGAACATCTTCGATTTGAACACCTCATTTTCTTTAGTGAGGCGTGCACCTTGTTGAAAACAGTACTGGCATCATTGGTCTAGTGGTAGAATACAACGTTGCCATCGTTGTGACCCGAGTTCGATTCTCGGATGATGCAGTTTTTCAAAAAATTTTCATCTATGGAATCTGTCCCCGCTCCCCTCAGTACAATGTTGAATGCCATCTCTGATCCTCGGTAGTTCTTCAGATGCTTCGCGAATTGTTTACCAGCCTTGTGAACTCTGTTCAAGGGGAGCGGGGTATGTTGGACGTAGAGATATGTCCAACATATGTCGAGTAGGCCTTCTCTATGAGGAGGCCTCAAAGCTGGGCCCTACTGCATTCGTTAAGCGTCTACCGGGAGCCAAGGAACATCGTCAAGGTGATTTGTAGTTTTAGATTACAGTCACGCATAATATTACATAAAATTCTCGTCGCGCCATGAGTCCTGTGGTAGTGGTTATCTCTCCATGGTGGACCCCAATCAGGTCACAAGATTGGCAATGTTGTATTCTTCAACTCATACCAAGCTAGGTGGAAAAGATCAGGCTTTTATAGGATGATATCTGAGTGATAACTTCATCGTTGGCTCTCCACTGCCAGAGGCCGTTCGGAATCATAGAAAAGTCAGGTCCGGGTTATAGACAACTTAACATCGCCCGTTCTTCAGCCAGTAACTAATCGTACCAGTAGCCGGTTAAGGGCGAAACGAAGCGCGGTTGGAACTAACCTGTGCACGTAGGCATGCGTGCCGAGACAGGACCATTCACTACATTGCTCTGTGAATCATCAACTCTTCCGAGAGAATGCATTAGACACATGGAAAGTGGCCCTAATCCCAGCCCCGAAGCAAGATATGCCACCTTATAATATAAGGTTATATCATCCCACTCCCGTGATCATGAGTAAACTCAAGATTGCGAGATAAGGTTTGTGAACGATACATTACCGAGCTTGTCCTATCTGTGCCTCTTTGCTGATATTAATATAGAGCTGACACTCTACTAGATAAGCAGAACTAGTGCCAACAGCCAGAAAAAAACTTCAAGCTGTTAGTGATATGAGACAGATAATACATTCAGGGCTCAAGCTTTATCATCCAATTTATCTGCCATGACAACAGGATTTGCCTTTGCCAATTTTCGACGCTCGTTAGTCTTGTAATCATAATCGCATTGATGAGCTTCCGCATATCTGTTCATGCAGAGGCCACTCCACTGTCTCAAGTGAGTGTATTTAATACTACCTGTGTGTTGAGCAGAAATAATAACCGCAGCGGCATCTAACACCAGTGAGACCGATGCGTTTCCCGCATGTCCAGCACCTGATGGAATACTCGAGCTCAAGAACTGCGTGATACCAGGGTGGTGTATGCTGTTCGTGACCCATACAACTCATAAACCATAGCTAAGTCGCCAGCGGCTCCCTCCTTGCCCTTACCGATTAACATCACTCTGCACTGGCCGGTCGTCACTTGCCTCTACCAATTCATCAACTTTTTCGGCCTCTAGACGAGCCTTCTCTTCCTACAAACCGACTATCCACTTTGCATCATGTAAAATCAGCCCGATTTCATATTGATTAAAAAAATGTCACCGTGTACGTCGAGAACTGTTGACACAGACTCCTACCGCTTCTTCCTTCTCTTTCTCTTCCTTTTCCTTCAGATCTTTCCAGCACTTGGAACAGTAATTGTTGGTATCAGGATTGCCGAAGAATCCACACCCGCCCTGGCATGGTACGGGTGCAGCACCTGTTGCTGCGGCTGCTATAGTTGACGACGATGTGGACGCCTAAGAGCTCAGTAGATAAACTAGAGGATTTTGGCCACACTTGTAAACACATCACCGAAGACAATACCTCTTGAGCCACTTCCATGTTAACATCATCACTATTGGCCGGCTTGGGGCCTTTGATCAGTAACAATGTGCTCCCAGTCACAATTTTCCTTGTAGATAAGGTATCATCGTCCTGCAAATGCTTACCTGAGTCACTAGAAGCATCCCATCTATCGAGTCAGTGGAACGATGCAGCTCAATAGTCCCTGATATGCTTACCTTTGTAGAATATCTTCATCTGAACCGCTGGTATTGAGCAATGTTCAGATTGAGAAGCTAGACGCTTGAGCTCTGCTACCTGAACAATGACCACCATTACGATTAACGATGCGCGGAGAATGATCAACGAAAGCCGCCGCGCTTATATCGATAGCGACACCAATGACTAGTTCTTGGGTGAATATAGTGAGACCGATGAGTATATGGGGCTCGCTGCCGTCTTACAGTAATATCCGACCTGACATCTTCCAATACAAAGGGTTTCCCGCCTGTAAGCTTGAAGTGGAGTGTTATTGTCTTGTTCTCCGGAGTGGATGACATACTCACTGATATGTCTGTTAAAAGGGTACAAACTTGAGGTCGGCAAGAGGTTGCGAAAGGGGGCGATCCCAGGAGCAATGAACTCATTCCGCCAGGGTTAAACTCTGTAGCGAGAGAGATGGCAGAAACGTGACAGTGGTGGTATGATACTGTGGAATAAAGACTATAGTGGGGAGGCTTAAGATGTACAGTAGAACGGGATGAGCGGACCAACATCACAATGCTACCACTCACTATGAGTGGATCGCTCCCGGTCATGAACTGGACTCGTCCGCATCGGAATCTTCGCCCTTCTCAGCCAGGAACCTACATCGAGCATCTCGAACCTTAATTATCGACCCAACGGATATGATGTGAAAGTATAGATTACGTTTTAAGCTGATCAACGAGCTCCTTATGATTATTTTTATTCTTCTTCCTATTAGGTCGGGCTAGTCTAACATGCTTGTACCTGATCATTGCATACTCATATGCCAATTGGAGTGGCGAGAAGATCGTAGACCGACAGAGGGATGCGTATGAAGACCGTATAGCGCTAAGTGAATGATATAACTCCTTGTACTACTTGCATTTGTCCCCATGTCGACACCGTCCCCGCTCCAAGAAGAAGCGACACATACCATGTTTGGGTCTAGTCACCTTCACACCATTCTCTTCTTCACTGGGAACCTCTATGGTACCAACAGCGACGTCATCACTAAACGTAGGAACGGATACCTAACAACATACAGTCGGGTGCTCACTGATGCATGATCTGACCCCCATGGACGATACAAGCGATTACTGGCTGACCCCATTCCGGCTGTGAGTTGAACGAGAATTGACGGATGAAGACAGCTTCGGGAGTACAACTAATGTACAGTACATTACCTCCTCCTCCTCGCCCTTAGCTTCACTCGAATACTTGGCATCCTCTTCTGGACTCGATTCCGAATCACTACTCTCGCTACTGCTGCTCTCAGGAATCTCCTTGAGTGTCATCCCTTTGACATCGTCACTACGACGGTTCTCTGAGCAGGGATCGATTGTATGGCGCATATCCATATACTACCCATGGACATCTTCTGTTAACCCACCACCACTAACTACTTGCAGCATTAGGGAAATTCTTCCTCCTCTCCTCAAGCCATGTTTGGATTTCCTCAGGTTGTTGCGAAGAGTTACTGGATTCAGCATCGGCTGAGACACGTATGTGATCCATTCAGAGAGCGGAAATGAGAAGATGAGAGCTATTACCTCCCTTGGATTCGGCCATATGGCTCCACTTATGAGCTTCAACCTAAACAATACCTCAGTGTGCTTATTAGCTTTGCCAGAGTATCGGAGCGAATAGAGGAGTTATTACCAGATGGGGAGGAGCACTATAGTCACAGCCTGGCATTGGACACTTTACATGGTATGTCAGCTTGTGCTTTCCGAGGGCCTCGGCCGTACACAAGTCCCTACAATAAAACGATCTCGAGTGTGCACAAGTAAGAGTTAATAGAGCCGACAGAAACTACGATGCTATTTGATGATCCAACCGCCAGAGTCCTACATCTCACAGGGCTCGCAATAGAACTGGCTGGCCTTGGGCAATGTTCCCAAGGTATCCTCCCAGAAGAGGCCAGCACCACCACCACCACCACCACCACCTTTGCCCTTCCCTTTACCACTAGTCCAGGGTGCTGCCTGTCGATAGTAGTCCCAGCCTCCCCATTGACCCATTGGTGGACCTCCTTTACCATAAGGTCCAACACCCCACCAGGACTGATCATCATACCATGGATTGGGACTCCAGCCTGGCCACCCTCCTGGCTGGTAACCATTCAAATCCATCGAAGTGGAAGAGCTCGAAGGGATCACGTTTCGAGTTCTGCCACGACCCTTCGCGTAGGGGATAGAATCCGGGCGATCAGCTCTATGCCTTGAGGATGAGTCATGCCCCCTGCTTCGCAAGTAGGCGGACCTCGCTGCTTGGAAGGCGTCCATATGATGGAGTGCGAACTAACGGATCCAGACCATCCAACTTGGGTAATGTCGATAAAAAAATGCAATACAGAGATGCAAACTCGAATCGATCTGACTGCAGAGTGAGTATGACGTCGAATACACCATAGTGCAATAAGTTATGAGGAAGTGGTCCTATTGGTAAAAATACAATCACATATCGTCCTCAGAGAAATAATCATCATCACCAGAATCATCGCTTTGTCCGCTGTCCGAATCGTCCTCATCGAGTACCGCAGTATCGGATTTCTCGTCAAAGAAATTTTCAGTGATGAAGAACCTAAACAGCGAAGTATAACGGGGGAGTGGGGTGATGATCTACTACCTGAGACACTGTAGAACTGTGGCGTTGTAGCGTTCTATGTCGTCACGCATTAGTCGTCTGATAAGTTGCTCATGCGTACTCTCCTTGGGCTGCTCTTGTTTTTTAATATGATTGAACCTTCTCAAGAGGGCGGAGTCCGGCAGATGAGTTTCGACGCAACCCTCGAGTATGAGGGGCCGATTAATGCGGCTTACTTGCAGTTATCTCCATGACGGCAATAGCCTCTCTCTTGGAAGAAGCGGCATACACCCTTCTTAGGTTGAACATGCTCGAAGTGGCATGCTCCCTCATACTTGCACTTCCCAAACTTGGCAAAATGCGTGCATATCCGACGCTCTGCGAACTTGGCTTCACGCTGAAGATGAGCTCAATACTAACAACACGCGTACAGCTATGTTAATCACATGGTCGACTTCAGCTGAGCCAACTTAATTATATAGGATATCACAGTTTGATAAACCCGTATCGTCTAGCCATCGGAGAGTACCTCAGCCCGTTCTTTCTTCTTCCGTTCTCTATTCTCTCGCATAGATGACCGTATAGCCTTCTCCAGTGTGCACATCTCATTGGCATCGAATGCTCCTTTCGGAGAGTCATTCCGGCCTGAGCTCAAAGCGTGATGAAATAGATAAGCAGGATTGCTCCGATGGATCGAAACCTTCCATTATAACCTTTGGTTGGAAAATTCTTCTTCCGTCGTGCGAGCCATGCGTCAGTTTCCGCTTGTGAAGTTGTTAGGGATTCCGATTTACCTGCGTACAAATGTGTAAACGCATAACTATAGCACTGCCCATGATATTAACGAGCTCGTGAGCATCATTACCTTCAACAGTTGTGACCAAACAATGAGAGAGCTTATGTGCGGCGACCTGACAAGAAGAGATCGCTTGCACAAGGACTCTGATTGGAGAGGTCCCAGAATGAATAAGATCCAAATACAGTTTATTCGAGACACTCGTACAGAGTTGAATTAATTACCAAATCGGGCCTAGCACTGTAGTCACAGCCAGGGTGAGGGCAGGTAACATGGAAAGTGATAACATGCTCATCGAGAGCATCGGCGGTGAAGAGATCTCTGAAACACGAAATCAATGAGTTTCCTCCTTTACTGCATCGTGGGTTCGCAATGGTGAGATCCATAACTGATATAGACAATAGCTTACTTCCCACATGGAATGCAGTAAAACTCGCTCTTCTGGGGTTCATCGGACCACCTGCCCTTCTTAGATTGAGGATAGTTCCATTGCTCAGAGCCACTCCATCTACGGCCACTCTTCCCTTTACCACCTTTACCCTTCCCTTTACTCCCACTATTGTAGCCTGTAGATTCCCATGATCCCTTGGCATGGTATCCCTTACCCCAACTAGGGGCAGGAGGTGGTGTTGGATGTGGCCACCATTCATCGTTCGCTCCTCCCTTCCCAGAACCGTTCCATCCACCACCACCAGTATACCATCCATCATTATTCCCCCATTGAGGGGGAGCACTCCATCCCCATTCGTCTTGACCCCAACCCCCTGACCATTCATGGGTCCCATACCCAGGAAGGCTACTAGACTGTGATGCAGGCCCGAAAAATAGCGGATCGGACATAGGACATGAACCAGTGAATAGCTAAACAATCAATGTTTACAGAGGAGTTGTATAATTGCAGAGGATTCTTGTATTTTGGAGTGATACGATGCAGGCAAAACGACGCTCGCGTGTAATGCTGCGGAGAGTTTCCAATTGAAAACGACGCTCGGCGTATCGCAAGTTCGATTCACGGGCTCGGCATTTCTCTCTGCCTTCCCGTCTCCCGGTGAAATCCGTGACGTCGTTTGTGAAGGTTTTAGACATCTTCACTTCATTGTTATTCTCGTTTCGAAGGTTTCATTTAATCACATGAAATCCTCTAACGCAGGACTGCAGCCTGCCATCCCGATGCATCGGTAGTACTGGTGGCTCCTCCTCCCCATATTCACGTCGTGGATCCATTCTGAGCAGGCCGGTCCGGAATCCTGAGAATCCAGTAGTATTCATGGACGTATCGGTTGGAGGGTCGGCCATCGGCCGCATCAGGATGGAGCTATATAAGGACGTTGCACCCAAGACTGTTGAGAACTTTCGTCAGCTATGCACGGGCGAGTTCAAACTCAATGGAGTCCCTATTGGATACAAAGGATCAACGTTCCACAGAGTTATTCGGGACTTCATGATACAAGGAGGAGACTTTGTCAAAGGGGATGGTACTGGAAGCTTGAGTATATATGGTGAAAAGTTCCCTGATGAGAACTTCAAACTTGCCCATGATTCCCCTGGTAATATCATAGTGAATCGGTGTAGTGTGGCGTAAACCCCAATCTCCTTGGTATGTTCACTTGATTATTCAGGTTTGCTATCTATGGCTAACTCTGGTCCTAATACTAATGGGTGTCAGTTCTTCATAACCTGCAATAAGTAAGAAGTAACTATTATTATCGTCTGGTGTCGGATCATACCGTGTGGTTCATATCCCGTCTTGCTTTAGATGTGACTGGTTGGATAGCAAGCATGTGGTGTTTGGTAAGGTCTTGGATCAGCAGAGTATGATGACTGTAAGGAAGATTGAGAATGCGCAAGTAGTAGTAGCTCGATGGTCCACTATCGTAACGACTCGAAAGGGATTTTGGTGTACTCTGTCTACAGGTTGGGGAGAACAGCCGTCCAAAGTTGCCAATCACAGTATCAGAATGCGGAGAACTCTAGGCAGCTCACCGTGCATCTCCCAACAATACGTTTTCTAATCTTCGAGGTTCGGAGTGTTTCGTTTAGTTAAGCATCGTTGGCCACCTAAGTCGGTTGCCTCAGTGTCTCCTATCACAGTCCTTTACATGGTTATGTTGGGGTGGAGTTATCATCCTATATCAAGGCAAGTCCAACGAAGTGCTCTAGACCGGAGCATCAGTCGGTGCCGACGGCAAAGTAGAGTGGTAATACCATCGTAGGGCACCATCATCAATGGCATATACTCAACCACTCCTCTCGTCAGTATATCGTCAGTAGGAGAAGTGATTCGTAATATCACGTACAAATGGATCAGAGACGATATCAGGAATAGAAGAGGCCTATCTGGGCTCTATCATCTCGAGCCACATCAAGGGAAGCACACTAACCTCAACGCCACTATTAACGATACTCTTATGAATCCAACACCGAGATCAATTCCACCCTCTGAACCTGACGAGTACAATTGACACCTGCTGTCACCATAGTACATGAATGATTCTTGCAAGCCCTCAACTTCTACATCTCCTATTAAGCTTCTCCTTGTTCTTGTCTTCGGGGAGCTCTTCAACAATGCTCTATACGGGCTCTCGAGCTCACTACTGCGGAGGAGTTTGGGCGAGGAGTGGATGCAGTGGAGCCTCTTCCAGGTCGAGCTAATCAACGGCGAAGAACGAAGGAGAACAGGGAGGGCTCTGATGAGGCCAAGTACATTAGGGAGATGTAAGAGTTTGATATGGATGTGCTGAGAGGGGTGGGATTTGATAAGGTTGAGTACGGTACTTCCCGGGCTAGCCTTGGTGTGACTATGCATACCACGCGTATTCTAACTCCCTTGTCGGTCCAGCAGCTCACCATAATAGAACATCGGGAAGGCCACATAGGCCTCTGCGTATCAGGCTACGATATCTATCCTCGGTGTTGTGTCTACTAATAACCTAAGTCGCTTTGTACCATATCTCAATATAGTATATCGATTTTCGTTCTTCCTCATGGTCAAACAGGTCGAAGTCAAAAACTCTCCCGATAACGATGTAAGAAGCAGCCTCGTGACCAGTTGAGAAGTGTTGAGAAGGTTGAGAAATGTGCCTGTGTCGCAGAAGCTTAGAGAAGATCAGAAGGCTGTAGGTCTGGAAATTGGTATTGACAAGGATGCAGTCGTCTCTTCCATCGCTCAAGGTGCAGAGGATGAGATACTTGTCATCAATGGTAAGTATTGCAGTATATTCTCACATAACTATCACATGCTGGATTCCTTGGGGAGCATCCTCACAGATAGTATTGACGACATTGTAAACCCCGAGAGAAGCTGCTTCGACAGTATCCTGGCAAGTGTTTTCGAGGTTATAGAGCAAGTGCAGGATAGGCTTCAGTGAGGAGTAGTGTCTACTATAGGTGGTATGCTCGGGGCCTCTCCAAGAGAGAGTTGAAGAGTTCATGCAACATCACTGTCACGAGTTCAAATACGAGAAGACACCAGTAGTTGATAACGATGCTCCAGAGTACAAGCACGAACACTATGTGTTGTTTAAGAGGTGAGCTTCTTTCTCGCAGCAACAGTAGACGCCTCCTTATATGTGAGGTATTGCGATACCATTGAAGACTTGCTAGTCTCGAGGGTCAAACAGGAGGTGCGTGTATGAGAAGTCACCGTTTATCTTGTCTACCAGCACCCCACCTTCGAACTAGACGAGTTCGTAGAGGAATGCCGTGGCAGGCTGGGGAGCGAAGTAGACAGCCCCAATGCTGGCGGTTGGATCATGCAAACCGAGGAGGTGTAGGGCCCAGCTCGTGGACTTCAATCATATCAGATTGTTGGATGATATGTTCAGATTCGATTTCCTCCTCTCCTTGGTTGACTTCGAGGCATTCCGTAATGACATGATATCCACGGCGATGCATGGTCAAGATCTTTATCTCCGAGGGTAGGCACTTCATTCCCAAACCCCCGGGAGTGTTGGATTCATAGGAGTCCCGCTGCTGTGGTTGCTGAAGATTAGTATATGCTTGCTCGCAGACGACATGAACCTATTAGCATGTCATTGAGAGATTCTCTTTGGAGAGATGTTGTGAGTGTTGTGTCATATGGCGGAGTTCCCGAACTTACTATGGTAGTTTCGAATCACAGCTTACAATGGGGGGAGTATTCTCATCGTCGATGACAGCAGCATCATCGAGTGGCTTGGATCGTGAAGTGACTTGGAAGGAGTTGAACACACATAACAAACCCGATGATTGCTGGACAGTGGTTAGACAACAGGTGTAATGACTTATGTTTCCTTGTCTACACTCATTGTTGGTCCATGCTCATCTACTCTCAGGGGTACAAGTGACTTATTATTGATGCTCAGATATGATGTGACGAAGTATGCTGATCGGCATCCTGGTGGTCCGCGGACGATATACATCGCTTGTGGTAAGGACTGCACGGAAGTATTCGATCATGTGCATTCGAAAGTGAAACCGGAGAATATCCTCTCCAAGGTAATATTAGTTGAATGCAGGGAGCAGGTCCTGTCCAAGAGGCTCTGCTCAGGAGAGCCTTCTCTAGTTGATCATGTGTGGTATGCTCAGGACTATATCGGTAAGATATCTGGTGATGCTCCTGAGGAGCAGATAGCTGGACAGCGGAGAAGTCATAATGAAGAGAGGAAGGCTGACTGCCCATCGAGTGATAGTACGTCAGTTTCCTATCCTACTAGCTATCAGTCAGCCGAGGGCAATAGGCAGGAAATAATAATCAAAGAAGGGGAGATATGGTGAGAGTAATATGGCTGTGTAGCATCAACTGCATTGTAATACCCGATTATATCATTCACTGTGTTTTCACTTACTGTTTCCTTTGGATGTGTATCCTCGTCGAAATGTGTTGACCCTTCAGGAAGGGGTGTCGGCGGTCTGTGTGGTAGAATCGCTGTTGAAGCCTTTTAGGGGGTCTTATCGATCTGCTCCGGCGATCCCTCAATTTAACTTTAGTTTTCTGTCTGCATAATGAGCGATCCACCAGAGGTTCCTGCGGCTCCCTCTCGGCCACTACCATCAGCTGATCTACAGCCACACCCGGCCCGGCATTCCCATTCTAGCCATGTGTCCTTTGCTGACCGTGTGAAAAAAGAGATAGAACGTGGTCAAAGGACCAGTACAACCAGCACCAACGCATCAGGGTGTAATAAATTGCAGACACCAGCGGTTCCTCATCTCCCACCACGGAAAAAGGTCAAGAGCAAGAATCAGGTAGTATACAGAGCGTGGAGGTTTGGGTATGCCGCAGCTGTTGATGATCATCATAGCTAATGCTTGTACTTACTGGTGTTCTTCCTCTCGTCTTCAGTTTGCGTACATGAGGATCATGGCTGACAATAAGCCTCTATTATTTCCAGCGGATAAGCTGACTTGGGACGAGGTTGCTCATCATAATTCGAAGCATGACTGTTGGACAGTCATCAATGGAGTTGTGTAATAAGTACATACTGGGGCTGCTTCATATATTCCTATCGGTTATTCAGATATGATATAACATCATACCTGGATTATCATCCTGGAGGCCGAGGAGAATTATTCCAAGGAGCTGGAAAGGACTGTACCAACCTCTTCAATATCTATCATCCATGGGTTAGTGAAGAAGCGATTCTACGCAATGTAATGATCCATGTCACGGTATAGTGTAACGGGATGATCACCAATTCGCCCCTCTCGCGATCATATAGATCAACCAGTCATGTTCTTTCATGGGTCTCCAGGCACGGCTGGGTCCAGTAATTGGAGGCCCTTGCCCTCCTCACATGGTGGCCGAACGCCGGGGGGAACTACAACATCGTCCTGCTACTGGGCAAGAGGTAGAAGCGATGCCATACTGCAATGCTATCCTTGCATCGATGCCTTGTCCATAAGCTCTTGTTAGGGCATGCGTCCGGGCGGCGATCCGACCAAGATTGTATCGGTACCGTTGCCTACGATACCTGAGTATGTGCCCCCAACCACACCATCACCCATTCTATCTGCAAATGATGCACAGTCCGATGTACCGGTAGCGGCCATGCTACGACGATCAAAGCCCAAAACTGAGGCTGCGAAAACGAATGAAGTAAACACAGAAGCGGCATCAAGGTCACAGCCGTCCTGGATCCCTCTACTGTTCCGGGGATCGGTAAGACGTCGAAGTATGACAGTATCTGTTGATCTATGTCCTGTTAGGTATTCTTCCCTGGAATGAAGTTGTTCCCACCACACGAGCATAAGTAGTTATACGGTCTGTTGAGATTGACGAGAGTCCACTACTTGCACTATGCTTGTTTATAAGTTCTATTGCATCTTGTAATATTGTCGTTGTGACAATGACGAGTAGTTCCTCCCAGCATACACCAATATACCGTCCTCTATGTATCCGTAGGGTTGCATTCGTTCTATGCTACGTGTTTTGTTGTTGCCTCGGGTAGAGTTGTTGTCCAAGTCCGTTAGTCCCTCAGCAACTTCGCAGTAGGCACCGTTATGACTCCGACTAGATGGACAGTCCCTCTCGGAGCGACAGTCACTCTCCACTCCAGAAGGATGTGCCGATTCGCAGGCAACGTCTGCTACAACCACTGCTATGTGCACCTGGTTCAGCTAAGGTAGGCTAGTAGACCATACCTCCGTCGACCCTCCTCTGTATGCACACCATAATAGGTGCTGTTCTTCCTCGTCTGCTCCCTCAGCCTCTGGGAAGGGTACTACAAGCGAGGATTGGACGGCCATATTAGAGTCTATAGCCTCCTCCAAGGATCCATTGGCTGACCTTGGACCAATGAAGCTTAGTTTAACTCTCCAATCGTGTACCAGATCTCAGTAATGCTATTTCTACTGTTGCTGCTAACCTTAGGGATATCCTTCATTATCAGGCTTTTCCGTTCCCAGAGCGGATGGCCCACTGTGGACCGGACGTTCGCAGCAGTGGTTGAGTTTCTTATCCCGGATAATCTTGAGAAGTTCAACTCGCAGGATCTGGTGATTAATCCGAAAGGGATAATTCCAGTTGATGCTCGATCCAGGTTTTGACGCTGAAGGCAATAGAGCGGTATGTGAAGGAAAGATCGTATAGGGACGGTGGGAAGGGGCACACGACGTAGTATTCAACCTCTCTCGAATATTCCGCACAACTGCTTTTCGATATTGCATCGCTACTCCTTATGGTGTTGAGGACTGCCATTGGAGGTCATTGTTTTATCCTTCAGTCCAGAGTTATCCCCGTCACGAAGCCTCTCGCAGGATCCAGCGATCCAGGCTTGCCTGAATATTCTATCAATGATGAAGGGGAAGCTATCCTATAGGACACCTCTACGAGAGTAGGAGACATCTACGGCTCTTCTTCTGAACTGGTGTGCTCATGCTCGGTGTGTGGATCCTCAACGGGTATAATTGGCTTGCTCTAGATTGGGCATGACGCTGAGTTCATTGGTATCGATCGATGAACTACGAGACGACGAGGATGCTATGGATATCATCCCTCACATACTGACATGTATCAAGGAAGGGCATTCGAACGGATCTCTCATAGTAGTTTCCAACTCACTGCTGGCCGCCGTCAGCTATGTCTCAGTCAAGCTCGGCTAAGCTGGGTGAAGAGGCCTGTGGACAAGGCTTGGCCAATTTAGCCATGGCACTAGCCAAGTTACGATATGAAGATACCGCTTTTATGGAGGCTCTAGCCGGGATTGTCTGTGGATCGATAGAGAGGTTATCGTTGGTGGACGTCGGACAGGTAGTGGTCATCCTCCAACCCCCACACGATCTCAACGTATCTCTTCCTCGACTCTCCTAGAGCCTGCCTATGGCTCCTTGGTCGGTATGTCAGATTGCGTTTGCCTTTGGCAAGCTTCGTATCGAATCTTCGGAAGCCGTTCCTGCCATGTTTGGATGTATTGCTGAGAGAGTTGCAGACGAAGAGGAGTCTTTGTCGAGACACCTACCAACAGCATGCAGTCTGGTAGTGTCCAGAATTCTTACATATAGTACCCAATCATCCTTTTTTGAAAATTGCTCCATCCATCTTATTCTCTGTCTTGGTACATATCTTCTGTCAGTTATACGGTATGCATCGACTAGGGTTGGAATGCAGTGAGTTCTCGGAGATGGTGGCAAGTCGACTCCACCCCGCTGTAGGCAACCTTGATGTGAAGCAGCTCCTCCTCATCATACCAGCGTGTCGGTACGTTGAGTAACATGGCTAGTCATTGGCTCTGTCGATGTCCTTACAGACGGCTCAACACCTCTGCTGGAGAGTCAGGTCACAGGTCGAACGTCAACTGCAGTCACCTTTACCACTCGGCTGGGAGAGCCTTCGCTGATAAGGCTCCGGTGCTGCCATTAGGCATGCTAATACAGGTAGTATGTTACGGGCTGAGTATCCAAAGAGTTGTTCCTACACGGCCATCATCTCGGCTCTGGAGGTCCGTGATCGTGTGTTACACGGGTGGATAGTGAGAGAGTCAGTTGATTCACCATGGGTAGTTCACTCTCAGGGATGTTTCTCGATCGATTTGTCTGATCTGGAGAATGTATCCCAACAGTTGCGACATAGGGGAAACGCAACTTGGATGCATCATGCACGATACGGCTTGTCTATAGTGGAGGCACTTAGTCATAATGTCATGGGTATGTGGGGTGTGGGCTATCTGGGTTATCCGTCAGCATTGACCTGCAATGCAGAGCCGTTGTCACGCGTCTCACAGGACGTGGTTCATGCATAGTGGGGTTCATGACGTGCACATGAGTAAGAGATAAGCTCAACAGTCATTATTTCAGAAACTGGAAGCCAGGTGGCAAATCCGGGTCCAGAGACTCGTGAGCTTGTCAGAGAGATATGTCACCATTATGTGGAAGATCGAAGGATTTTAGCACAGATTACCGCTGATCAAAAAGATGTCGGACTGTGCATCGATGGGTACAAATTAGATCGTCTTTCTATCTCAGCTCCTCCGGAATCTACCCGCCCCACCCTGCTTCCCAGCATTAGCGGAGCTCAAGTATGCATTCGAACGAGATCCATCCGACTGAGGATTACATTTCACATGCATTGTTGTTTCGGAAATTAAGTTTCAGTTGTACTCACCGTTGTTGAGGATTTTCTAGAGTTGTCGAGTATTTCGTTAGGCATATGGCCTTCTCAGGTGTAGCTGTTGGAGCAAAGTAATCATGGAAATAGATACCGGGGAATATGAATAAACGAATTGACAGAACCTGCCTGATGGGTCTATGCAACCTGACTACCTACGCATATCTATGTTTCCGTTAGGAACAATTAAGTTAAAGTACAATCTTTGCTCAGAACTTACCAGCAGAAGCGCGGTCGGACATAGTGGAATTTCGTTTACCATATCCCGAGCTACTCAACATGGGCTTTAGTCGGGGTGCCCGACTGAGCATACCAGCATAGTCGGGTGCTCCTGCTACTCGGGCTACTCAAGTTTCTACAAGGTCCTGGCGGAGCCGGTACACAAGCCTTTCTGCTAACGATCCCAACAACAACAACAGTCCCTTCTACAACTGTATTGCTGTCTTTAGCCCTTCCGGAGAATTCTCCTTCAACCTGCTCGGTTCATGACTTCCGATGACCCTGGGCGGCTTTACATTCGCCTTCTATATAGTAACCGTATATATCTCAAGTCGTATTATTGTTACAGGCAGGCTATTTATCATAATGGGGATTGTTTTCCGAATAGTATTGCTTTGGAAGTTTCAAAGCTCGCCGGTGATGGTGTATGCTTCACATGAACGTTAAGGCTGTATTCTGGTTGCCATATTCTGGTTGATCCCGATTTTGAAACGGATCCTCATGCGATTAGTGACGTCTTCTTCCTCGTTTTCGGAGCAGTGATTATTGTGTAGTCCCTAGCAGCTTTACTGCTGATACATAGTTTATCGGGAGTTGTTTTGGGCGATGGGCCATGGGGCAATTCACGCTTGCTACGGCGTCAGCGGCGTTTTTTACATAGTCGACAGGATCTGAGGTTCTCTTACTCATCCTGCTCAGTTACTCACTACCATGATTCAACGCATGGGTACAGAATACAATTTCTCTCATTTGATCTAATCGAGTCGGCCTCAATTGGTCATCAGCAGGTTGGTCTCTATTTCATAGAGTAAGCCTGTGTTTTCAGGTTCTTGTTCTCGACACTACCACCGGGATGTCCTCTTCTTAGTTGTTTGCTTCACCGCTCGCATGGTGAAATCGCTCTCATCCGGCGATAAAAATATTTCCAGCGGAGGGGGCAAGTGGGAAGGGTGTTTGCCAATCCTTAACCCAATCATTGCAGCGGCTCGTGCGGATTTCAAACAGCTCGATGGCTTCCTGCATCAGCGACGATGCAATGGGCGTAAGGGAGAATCTGGGTGAGTGTCTGTGGAATCGATTGGATAGAGTGACGACTCATCTGTGTGCCACACAATGTCTGGTTAGAGACAACGGTGGAGGTGGCATAATCATGATGACTTGAATCAATGACAGGTTGAGAGGGCAAGAGTGGTCACACCTGAGTGAGGCGTCATCACGGTCCCCGTCTCGTCGGTCCAGGGAGCAACAGCGTCGAGACCATTATACACCCCCACCAATAGCAGCCGTCGCCAGAGGAGTAAGCTCCCTGTGGCATGGAGAGAACAAGACTGCCAAACATGCAAAGGCTCGAGTCGGTACATCTCTACACCCAAAGGGGGAACATTTTGATAATACCATCTCTTCATCCGCTATAATAGGCCGAAAACTGGCGGGGGGCCGTGCTAGAACATTGGATACTCACGAAGAGGTGAGGACATATGCTTGTTCATACATCCTTCTGTCTCACTCATCTTAGTCTTAATATATATCGTGCCCCATAGGTTGCACAATCACCCGTGAAGATGTTCTCGCATTATGATACCCAAAATATCCCACACAGACGCAAAATGGAGGATGCTCATATCTACCTTCCATCCATTACTCCTTCTCTAAGCTCACGAACATCACTCATTGCTATACTAGATGGGCATGGTGGTAGCCTACAAGCTATAAGTACAGTCTTGGATAGATTCCCTTGTATAATTGGTGATGAGATGGAAGGACATCCCCCTCTCCCTGAAAAGGGAAGAAAGTCCATCAAAGCAGTGATGTCTGATGCGTTCGCACGAATGGACCAAGAAATACGTCCATGCACATGGCGGAATGGCCTAACTGCTACCGTGCTTATCGTAAGAAGACAGAAATCCAACAAGTTCAATAAGAACAGCTGTGCATTGATCTGTGCTAATGTCGGTGACAGCAGAGCCATATTAATAGCCCCTAGTGGCCGATTTACTAGACTCACAGAAGATCATCGACCTACTACGAATGCTGCCGAAGCAGATCGTGTGGTTCGCTGTGGAGGTATGGTGCTATTTGGCCGTGTGGGTGGGCAATTGGCAGTGAGCAGAGCATTGGGTGATTGGTGCCTCAAGGATGCTGGGGTTATCTCTGAACCAAGTGTTAGTGTGAAGAAGGAAGTTATACAAGGCTCGATCATCGTTGTCGCTAGTGATGGTGTATGGGACGTCCTTAATGATAGCGAAGTAGCTCGATTTGTCATCCAACACATTGATGAGGATGATGTAGCAGAGAAACTGGTAAGCTGCAGAAGGGAGTCCTCCTCGTTATACTAGCGCCGTTTCAACTCCAGTCGCCCAGTAGTATCATCTCAGGTAGGCCACGCCGTGTTGTCAGGGTCACGAGATAATTGCTCTGCTGCTGTAGCATTGTTATAGGCGATCACCTCTGCAGTTCCTGCAGTAACGATCACCGCATGCTTCGCAACCCCAATTGCTGTTGCAGTGGGTTGCCACGTAGATCTCATATCAAAGAGTCTTCCATCCTCTGTATCACCGCTGTCTGATGACAGCTTCATATTATAGCTTTTATGACCAGAGTGACACTGCCTGTTGTATACTTCTATTTTCTCGCAGTGTTATGGAGGGAGACGTATATTTCGGGTCACTCTCAATTCCGCTATTGCATACGCATGGTCGACATCCATCTAAGAGATTATAATTGTCACTGTAGTCACCACTGCTTAAGATCACCCAATCACGATAGTGGCAGGCTCAAGAGGTCGTAAAAGACTGTATCCTGTCTCATAGTGCAGTAGCATGACTCAGAGCGTCGCAATATCGGCGTCGCTCTGTAAGGGAGCTGCAGCGACTCAGACGGATGACTGGCTCAACCGCAACCACTCAAACTCGTTCCTGACCATTCATATGTTTGTACGATCTCGAGATCACCAGGCACAGGAAGAATGGCTTCCCAATAGTGAGCGAGCTAAAGTCCAGTCCTACCACTCGAGCATAGCTCTAATGATAATCATGCAGGCCTACATTGATACATGTTACACTGTCGCTAATTAGATAAGCTCAGTTGTGAATCACAACTTGTGATATTATGTGGTTTGCCTCTCAGAGAATGAGGCGCTTCTTCAGGAGTTGCCTACTACATGACTAATCCAGCATCTCCTTTATTTATTATCACCATCATGGATTGCTGGGGTCGCTGCGAGCGGGTATGGATGTGGGTACCTTGCCAAACACTTCCTGTGGATAACATCGAACATACTTCATTTTCCACTCATCACGAGCCGACTCGGTGAAGTCACATCTGCCAACGATAGTCGGAGCACTGCCGATACTCCCAATGAGTATTTGTGTTGGCATAGATGATAGAATGCATAATAGGATTTGGTGGTCGAAAGGTAGGGTGGTGGTGGGACTGGGACACCAGTATGCGCTCTCATGGTTCAACTCCGTAATGGCATTGCCATCAACCAACCCCATGTCACCCACTGTAGAGCATGTTTCTGTTAACAGTGATGTTGTCTTCATGCATTATCTAGTACTCATCTAGAGTAGTCTACCTCACTGAGAGTCACAGTAATGCCCATTCAAACGACTCCAGAATTCGATGCGCCATCCACTGAACATACACGGCCAGAGTTTCCTGAGGGAGATCCTACTTTTGCTCCCTATGCGGCAATGTAGGCTTCATACTGTGGGACTCGCTTCGGAATTCTTCATCAGTTATGACCTGATGGCTACTAAACGGGACACAGAACCTTCCGAGCTCCCTCCTCAGCAATCACGAATCCGTAAGTATCATCAGAGCATTCATTATCGCGTCGCATCGTGTGCATATTCTTCCTCGTGATGCGGGCAGGCTTGACTCATGTAACACCTCATCATTCGATTGTTATCTCAGCTATCGATGCGACGGAGAGCTTCCCTATCAACAGTGATGTATTCGAGGGTCGGATCGTAATGAGTAGCCGCATGGAATCCAATTGCATCGTAGGGCCCATCAGGTTGTAATACATCGTCCTCCTGACCCGAACGGTCCCTTCCCCTACTACGGGTATATGGGTAAGAAGCGGAGGTGAGTATGACTGTTTTACGCTGACTATCTTCTTCGACGTTCGTGCTCAGGCGCTGGGAGCTCCGATGGCAAGGACGGTTTAAAAGGAAGCCAAGTACTAGTCATAGGGTTGGTGTTTGTGGTCATTATATACCCGCCTCTCAGTGGTGTGGACAGCTTCATCTTCTTAGGCTCGGCATTATTTTTTGGAATCGAAGCAACACAGCCTCTTCCAGAGCTGGGGTTTGTTGCTAAGTCCGGTAATATCCTCTCTGATCATGATAACACATGGAAACCTGCTCTATTCATAGCATTATTATATTCTCCTCAGGGGTACGTCTCGTTTTATCAATCGCCACACGTTTGGCAGCAGCAAGAGGAACAGTGCTGTTGAGTAGTAGATGATACGCAGTCTCTCGATCGTATGCGCATCGTTCCCCTTCAGCTAACTACCCCAACTCTGACCCGTCGAAGAACACATTCTTTACTTTTCCACTAGTCAGTGCTGACACAGTAAGTCGTGTCTGCGGTATCTTGTGAGCATATGATGTCTTCAGTGCATCGTTTCGGATTTGGATACACCCCCCGACGAGCTTCCTGACATCACTGCCGACAAAGCCCTTACAGGTACTAGCTAGCTACATGTATCCATCCAACATGATTGCCTATCAACACTCCGTTGTGAATCATCTTCCCTTCTATCTCAGGAAAAGTGACTCATGACTACTTATTTGACACCGAGCACATCTATACTTTTTGCTACTTTTCGATGTAATCATCTGCTCCTCGTTTGTGTGATAGATCCCTCCCTATCGTCAATCTTGTCGTCATCAACGCCTTCATCGAGTTCCCCTCAGGTACATCGACTTCGTGACTTGGGATCTGCGCAACTTACCTGTCGTCAGTGGTAAGCATCATCTTCCTTACTCAACCCCACCACGAGAGTGGTTATCGTTAGGCACATCGTTGTGTACGTTCACTGGTTATCAGCCTATTCATGTTATCGTTAAGGATCAAGAAGATGAATACTTCATGGATGTACTTGTAGCGCATAGGTAAGATAATGAATTTAGCATAGTCACCACCTTGGTTGATATCAGGAGCCTCTCTCCAGTGTGGGCAGATTATATTACGCCTGATGAGTCAACAGCAGCAGAGGTGATGAAACTGAGGCCGCGTAGGTCGAGAATGAGCTCGATTGATAGTATGGAATATGTCAGCTGTCATTCATACTCGTAAGATCCGCTGCAGTGCTATCCCAATTGCTCTGTGATGATGCGGCTTTAGATGGGAAGAAGGAAGTGAGTCCTCGTCATCATCATCAAATGATGTTGTATCCGTTGTGGAAGTCGTAGATGTTATTGACAAGAAGGGTGACAATGGCAAGACCGACAAGGTAATGAACTCGCGGGTCGTGAGTCACGGCGACGCCACTCATCTCCTCCACCTCGGACGATGCTCATGTCTGACGGCATCGTCGACGGTGACGTTGGCGGGGAGGTGGCGTCTATGCTTCCATAGAATTGAATACGCATTGTGTTTCATCTACTACTTGGATCAGCTCAAGATGGATCAAATGTGTAAATGATAGGTGCTTGTCACTCGGAAGTGAAGATGCGTAAACGTGACGTTGTCCTCAGCCTTTCCGTCTCGGTAGAGTCTCGTCGCATGA